TTTAAGTTGATTTCCTCAGGTATTTTGTAACAGTAAAGGGAAACTGACTGACACACTTGTGTCAGGGCTGGAAGCCATCCTTGCTGTACCCACAGACCCTATGTTCACCACACAGGGTGAGGTCCAGGAGGGAAGGAAGGGACCCAACCCAGCAGGGACTGTGTGCTCAGGACAGGCCAGAGCTGAGTATCACAGGAAGCAAGCTCTGAGTACCAATGGTGGGCTCTGACTTCCCCAGCTACAGCCTCCTCAAGGAATAAAGGCCCACACCCTCTCACCCTTGGGGCCTAAGGAGATGCATGCTTCAAAAAAGCAACAAATAGCTTCACTGAGGTACCCTAAAATTTATTGATCAGAGTGTACAGTCTGATCATTTTAATAGATTTAGTGGTTTAACAGATTTATAAAGTTGTGTAACCATCACTACAATAGTTTTAGAACATCTTGATCACCCCTCAACAGTTCCCTCTTGCCCATTTACAGTTAACCCCCACTCCCACCCTCAGGCAACCACTAATCTACTCTCTTTCTCTATAAATTTACTTTTTCTAGGGATTTCATTAAATGTAATCATATAATATATAATTTTTTCAACTAGCTTCTCTCACTGAGTCGTATTTTGACACTGGTGTACACTGCACTGTTTCATTGCCACATATGTAGTAACTCATTGGACATTGTGTGGACCATAGTCATGTTTAGATTGCTCCAGTGTCTGCCTATTAGGAAAGAGGTGGCTATGAAGAACTACACAGAGGCCATCTGAGTTCAGTTCCCTGGGGTTGATTCCCACAGGGGGAACTGCTGGGTCCCATGGTAATTTTAGGGTCTTAAGACATTAACAACATATTTTCCCAAGGAGCTACACCACTTTACATTCCCACCAGCAATGCACAAGGATCTATGGTCTCCACACTCTCTCCAGTCCGTGGTGGTGTCTATCTTTTGGATTACACCCATCCTAGTAGAGATATAGTGTGATTTTAATTTAATTTTCATTAAAATGATAATGACTAATGATACTGAACATCTTTCCATGTACTGAATATCTTTTTTTTCTGTTATTGTACTAGAGATTGAATCCAAGCCTTTTCACTGAGCTATATCCCTAGCCCTTTTGTTATTGATTATTTTAAGATAAGGTCTCCCTAAGTTGCCAAATTGCCCAGGCTAGGATTGAACTTGGGACCCTTCCTCCCTCAACCTCCCAGAGCACTGGGATGGCACATATGCTGCACCACACTTAGCTCATTTGTGTATCATTTATTCAAATCTTTTCATCCATGTGAATTGTGCTGTGTCATCTTATTATTGAGTTGAAGATCCCTTTATACGTTTGGAAACAAGTTCCTTATCAGTTATTGGATTTATGAGTATTTTTGCTCACTTGTTGGCTTATATTTTCATTTTTAATAGTGTCTTTAGAAGCTCAAGGTTTTTCATTTTATCAATTCTTTCATTTATGATTCTTGCATAGGGTGCCTTTGCTCAACTCAAGGTCATAAAGATTTATCTCCTGCTTTCTTCAAGAAGTTTTGAAGTTTTAGCTCTGAATGTAAAAATTCAGAGCTCAGACCCTTTTTTAGTTAATCTTCAAACAGTGTGAGCTAAGGGTCTCTGTTCTTATTTTGGTATGTTGCTATCCGCGGGCCCCAGCACCTTCTGTTGAAAAGACCAAGCTTTTCACACCTTTGCTGAAATTCACTTGACCATAAATGTAAGGATGTATTTCTGGGTTCTTGGTTGTGTTCCAATCCCTGAATGTCCTGATTACTGCAGCATCAGAATGGGTTTTGAAAGCATTGTATATAAATCCTTTAACTTTGTTCTTTTGCAAAATTTACACATATAACCTAGAATCAGCTTGGCACTTCTAAAAGAACTGTGTGTTTAATTTCTATGTCTACAGCTTTCCCCACTGTCATTTTGTTATTGATTTCTAGTTGATTCCACTGTAGTCCAAGAACACAGGGCACGCTTTCAATTCTTTCAAATGTGCTGATGTTTGTTTTCAAGCCCAAGATATTCTCTGAGTTGGTGAATGTTCCATGGGGCTGAGAAAAATGTGTTCTTCAATAGTTGCTTGTTTGATAGGTGTCAGGGGATTGGGCTGGCTGATTCTGTTGTTTATGCCTTCCATGGCCTTACAAACTGTCTGTCCACAGTAGGGCTATCAGTTGCTGAAAGGAGGGTCTGAGGTCCTCACCAAAACTCTGGATTTTTCTCTTTCTTCTTTCAGCTCTTTAATTTTTGCTTGATATTCGTGGCTTGTTTGGCGTATTAATCTTTGTCTTACTGGTGGATTGATCATTCTATCACCTCATGCTCCTCTTTGCCTCTAGACAGTTTCTTTTCCCTATGAAGTTTATTTTATCAGATGCAGTATATTTATTCCTGCTTTTTTATCATCTGTGTCATATATCTTCTTCCATCCATTTACTTTCAACCTACCTACATTCCATGAAGTGAGTTTCACATACACAGAATATATTTGGATCATATCTTTTTTTACACTCTGCCAGGTTTTACAACTAAAGTAATGTATTTAGAGCTCAAAATTAAGATAAGTAGTATGGTTAGCAATTAAGTCTGCCATTTTATTTTGTTTGTTTCTTATAAGTTCTCATTCCTCCATTTTTATGTGACTTGAATATATATTAACATTTAACTTGATTTTTCAATAGTGCTTTTGAGTGGGACTTTTTGTGTAGTTATTTTAGTAGTAGCTTTGACTGGCCACAGTCTACTGGAACCAATATACCTCCACTGAGTAAAATGTGGGACCTTTCCTCTATTGGAGTCCTTTTTATCTCCACTTTTGAATATCATTGTCTTGAGTATCAAATGGTTTTATACTTTTGTTTCAGTCATCAAATTTGGTATTTAACACTCATGTCTATTCATGGAAAGTAGAGCCTACTGCTCTTTCCATGGTTTCTGCTTCCTTTCTCCTCTAAGATATGTTTTTTATGTCTCAAAAAAGTTTTTTAGCCATTATTTTAAAGCAGGTAGGTCTGACTCATTTTTCTTGTATTTGAGAATGTCTGTATTTCTCCTTCATTCCTGAAGGATAGTTTTGCTGAGTATAGAACCTGTGACTGACCGTTTGTCGTTTCAGTATTTGAGAAAAGTACTGCTTCTTTCTCTCCTCCATGGATTCAGAAGAGAAACATGGGAATTCAAGTTTATCTTCTGCTTAATTATATAATTCATCTTCATATGGATTTCATTGGGTTTATCCTCTTTGCTGTTCTTTTTGTTTTCTTGGTTTTTTTGTTTTGTTTTGTTTTGTTTGGTACCGGAGATCGAACTTGGGTCCTTGCGCTTGTGCAGCAGGTGGCGAAACCACTGAGCTAAATCCCCGGCCCCGGTTCTTTTAAATCTATGAGGTTTTTTTTTTTCTTTTGCAAAACTGGGGAAATTTTCAGCCATCATTTTTTCCATATTCTTTCAGCTCCACTCTTTCTCCTCTCTTGAACTCTCATCATAGAATATCTGATTTCTAGTCCTGTAGTCTTTGAGAACTGTTCATTGCTCACTTGTTTTTAGTCTGTTTTCTCTCTGGGTTCAGATAAATTAATTCTATGAATCTGTCCTCCAGCTCACTCACTATCCACTGACATCTCTACTTATCCAATGAGATTTTTATTTCTGTTATTATATTTTTCTGTAATTCCCTTTAAAAATAAGTGCTCTTTACTAGTTGAGAATTTTTATTTTGCCACTTGTTTTAGGAGATTTTTTAATTGGTTGTCAAAACATTTTCATGACTGCACTTCAAAATCCTTTGTCAGGTCCTCTTAACACCTGATCCATGTCAGGGTTGATCTGATCAATGTCTTTCCTCATTCAGGTTGTGATATTTGTGGTTTCCAATGTGATGGTTGATTTTTGTAGTTCAGTTCAGAGGTCTGGGGTCCTATTTAAATTGGTTACTTTTGCAAGTATTTTTCCTGTTTAGTTTATAACCCAGTCCTGCCCTCCTTCTGTGGGCTGTAGTTCCAGAGAGATTTTCACTTCCAGAGCTTCCCTGTCTTACTTTGCTCTGTTTGGTTTATCTGGTGCTTATAGACCCTGCTGGCTTAGCTAAGACAATGTAAAGAATTTACCCTGGTTGGGAGGCTGGATGCTTCATGGTGAGTGAGGAAGATTCAGGCCCATGGAGGCAAAGAGGCTTCCTAGCTAGGCCTCTTGTGTCTGGGTACCTCTCCAGTTTATTCTTTAAGCCCTGGTGTTACCTGGTGCCTAGGGTGGGAGGGGTTCCCACTCCACCCACCTGCTGGTGGTAGAGGGCTCCCCAGAAGGGGTTAGAGGAACTCCAGTCAGAACCAGGAAGGAATGAGCTTACCTGGATCCTTCTGTTGGTAATTTGGGGATGGATAAAATGGGTTAGAGTCACCTTCCATTGGATGGAGAAAACACAAAATGCTCTGTAACCATGTGCCTCCTCCAGTCCTAGGATCCCAAACCAGTTCACCTTCTTTCCACCTCCTAGAGTCCTCCTTTGGTTGTCTCTTGAGCTATTTCCAAGGCTTATAGGTGTGTTTAGGTGTATTTACGCTATCTCATCTGGATTAGCAGTCCCAAATCTTTAAATAATTTAAGTTTGCAATATCTCCTACAGCTACTGTTTGTCACCCATGAGGTATATCTCACCAGGTAAAGTAGGCAAACGGGAATTAGTGGAAAGGGATTGACGGGAATGTTTGGGGCCAGAAAGATCAACATGGCTTGGACCAGCTATGAAGAGCACACGCCAAGCCTCTGGCAGGTAGCACACAGGCTGAGCAGCATGAGCCACTGGGCATCTGACCCTCTGGGGGTGGTAATCAGAGTGTGGATTCTTCAAACACATGCAGATCACATATTTTTTGGCTTGTTCATACACAAATATGCAGACTTTTATGTAAAAATACAGATTTAACCAGTTTCTTGGTAATATCAAAAGAAAGTAAAATAGCAAACAGTTTCATTTGATAATAGGAAGAAAATATTCATACCTGTTCTGAGGACATTTCACCAAATAATGTCTCACTGTGAGAGAAAAAAAAGAATAGGAGATGGTAAGTAAATGCTACTTCAAATATATGCACTCCAGGAACGTCATGAAATGCAGGGGCCCAGCCTTTCCTATATCTTGGTGCTGCGTCAGCCAATTCTCAGACAGAGAAGCACAGCAGAGCCATCTCAGGGACTCCACAGTGGCTTGATATTGTCTAGTTCTGGGCTTAGCCAGGCACCAAGCCACACACCCTAGACTTCCATTACATAACCTACAGTATTCATTTTAGGCCAAAGCAGGTTGAGTTGTTTCTAACCTGAAGGCCTCAGCAGTAATAAAGTCACCTAACTCTTGGGCTGTGCCTCAGTCATGAGGAAGCCCTCTTGGGCCCAGATGGGACAACTGGTCTCCAGGTAGAGCTCTTCCCTATAAAATGGGTTTGCATTCTCTAACTGATACTCTTCCAGGACTCAATTAAAGAGGACCTTGGGAAAACAGCCTTGGAGCAAGACATCCCTTCTGCAGTAGGTCTCCTTTGGGAAACAATGATTCTGACTACAGAGGAAAAAACAAAAATACTCAGCCACTGAAAACAACAAGTGTGCAATATAAGTACCTGAGTTCACGTCAAATAGGAGGACAGCCAGGTTGCAGCACATGGCTACACCAACGGTGAGTGAGTAATCCCTCCTAGTATCTGTCCATACCCACACTGACTTGAGGCTTGGTCACATGGCTTGCTTGGGATGAAGGAACATTAGCCACTGTGCTGTGGAGAACCCTTCTTCTGCCACACAAAGAGAACGGGCTGGCCCACTGGGACATGGGGACCCATACAGCAGCCATCATGTGTCCCAGCCACAGCCTGAGCAGCAGGACCCAGCAGACCCCAGCCAACAGCAGCTGTACAGGTGATACAGGTAGAGGCCACCAGAACTGCACAGAGGGCCCAGTCCAGACCCAGGGAATTGGGAGCAAGTGAGAGAGTTGTCCTAAGCCTTTAGCCTTGGGGTGATCTGTTGTGCTGGCCACCAAAGCAGGTTCCATAGCAGAATGAGACTCTCAGCTTCAGAGGGGGCTGTGCTTATCTGGTCCAACTCCCCACTAACACCTCCACTCTCTCTGCATCCCACTTATGGATGCAGCAATGAGGGCAACTCAGTGAACAATTAAGGTGTTTATGACCAGCATTCTGAGCTTATTACATGGGTCAGCGGGCTTCAGTCTAGGGTGTGCACTCCCTGGACCCTCTCATATGGGACAGTTTTAAGGGAATCAATTTCTGGAACTTCGTCTTCCATGCATTCATCCCTAAGAATTCACTTTCTTGCTGTATGGCTGGCATCTGACTGTTTCCCTTCTCTCCCCACTTAACACTCTACCTCTTCTACTTTCTAAAACCAAGGCACACTGTTCCTCACCAGGACCTGTGTCATACATACCTTGCTAGGATGGAATGCCAGCAGCAATCAAGAGGTGGCGTGAGATGTCGGCATCAGTGTTGGGAAGGTAACTCAGGACTTAGCTAAACTTCCAAAAGGGGCATGTTCTTCATATTTTGCCTCCAAAAGCATTGAACGATGACCTAACCCAGTTGTCAACTGATGGAGTATTAAAAATCATTTTGATGCTGGATCACTATATAACTTTTGACATCTCATTCAGAGCCAGTTTGAGGCACTCTGTGGTATAAGAAAATTTCATCCACTCCTGCCTCTTTTTCTATTTTAAAGGAGGAATTTTAAAGCTAGCATCTATTAACAAAGTAGAAGTAGGACTGAGCATAAATTCTACCCCTAAGCAAATTCATACAAGGGTATGTGAAGCAAAAACAAAAATCAATTCCAATAAAATTGTGTCTCCATTACAATTTTACTTATTATTATTATTATTAATTACCTACATTTATAATATACCTATAAGATGTATTATTTAGGTTAATTTTACTCTAGTTTTTCAATATTGTTTATTTGGCAATATTAATAACAATCTTATAAGGGTATTTTAACAATTAAAGACTTATGGAATAATCATATGAAAAAGTTGTTAACAGACCATTATTTTATAGATGAGTATGACAAGGTGATCAGTAAAGTGCTTTCAAAACAAAATGTGTAAAAGTAGGATAAGATTTTGTGGGGAAAGTAGACCAGAGATAAAAGTTCAAGAAGAAAACGGGACAATATAAACTTTTGAAACAGCTAAATCTTTTCCAAGGCATCTTTAAATAAATGAGGGTTATGATTAAAATCAAGACCTTCTAATGTAAAAGAGAGCTAGACCTGTCCCTGCATTTTAAGATAGCAATATATGCAATGATCAGGAAATAACATTCTTTGAAATGATTCACATTTAAGATGCAAAAGCTTCTATGTCCACAGAGAAAGGCCAAGGGTATGCAGTTTGGGAAATTATTTTAGGAGCTATCCAGGCAAAAATGTTTGAAGACCACAGCTTTGTACGGTGACTCTCACGAGTAACTTCTCAGCACTCTTAGGTTACAGTGAGAAACACTGAAGTACACTGAGAGGTTGGTGAACTCGTCAAGGTCACAGCTGGTTTTATGGGCTGAACTGTGTCCTCTCCAAAGTGTGTGGGTCCTAGCCCAGCACTTTAGACCCCTGTGTAGAAGGCACCTCGGAGCTGCCCAGGGCCAGTGGCCTCAGAGCTCAGAGAGCTTGGGTCTTGTTTTATGGTCAGCACCTGGGGGCTCAAAACGTCATTTATTCAGGGTCTCAGAAGATCTTATTCATAAATAAAGAAACTTGAATCCAGGCTCTACAGCCAGGACTCATTTTAGGAGGCCACAGGAGAAGCTCGGTCCCCCTAGAGGAAAGGTGGCCCCTCTTCCTACAGCATCAAGACCCAGGACAGCCAGTGAGAGCCCGAGGGGCTTCCAGCTCAAGAGCCAGGGGTGGTCCATGTGTCCCAACTTCCCAGACCTCCTCCAGCCTGGGGTCTCCCTCTGCTCCCCACAGTCCCCAGTCACTGCATTCTGTCCTGTGGCCCCTCCCTCCATCCCAAGTCGGGCATGAGTGGATACAGCCCCAGCTCCCACCTCCTGGGGCCTCTGTCAGGAAAGGCCACCACTTTTTCATTTGTCTTTCAGGGAAGCCAAGGGGCATGTGGTTGGGGACAGGGGAGGATGGTGTAAAAGAGCCCTGGGTTGCCCTGTCTCTGGTTCCAGTACTGAGCACCAACCAGACCTTGTTGGAGTGGTTCTGAGGGGTATAGGTGATGAGGTCAGGTGCCCCTCTTCCCTGCTGGCTCCAGGGGCCTCAAAGAACCTTCAAGGCTCAGATGCAGGAAGCGGGGGGTGGGGTGGGGGGTAGCAAGCTAGACTGATCAACTCTTTAACATGCAAAAACCTTGGAGAATCCAGAACTGCTGAGGGTTCAGCCTGAGCCACCAAGATTGTTGTTTTCTAGGGTAACTCAGCTGCAAAGGCCTGGGGTGAGGCTCTGGGAACTGCAAGGACAACAAAGAGTAGGGACAGAGACTTGCTGTGTGGGAGAGGAAGTGGTTGCAACAGATGGTACAATTAGCTCCAGCTCAGGAGGCCAAGCAGAGGGCGCGAGGCCAGGGGACACAGCAGAGGGCTGGCTAGTGTCCCCGACTTCCAGGCTGGGCTGATGATTGCAGGATCCCTCCAGCGTGCATATCAGGAGCAGAGCAGCTACTCTGACACCCTGTTTGCACAAATGTTGCTGCAGACCAGGGAGCAGGCTGCAAACCTTCGTGCTCTGTGGCCCCCAAAGACAGAGAGCTGGCTTCCTTCCTGCACATCTGCCCTCCTAACCTGAAAACTGCAGGTCTCAGGAGGAAGTCCCTGGAAAGACCCGACCCTCCTCCCACAGATTGTAGTTCCCAGCCTTCTCACATTTTTAGTTGAATCAAATGGCCAGACTGATTGTGAGAATGGGTTACCCCTGAGTCACCAGGGCCTGATCTCTGAGGATGGACTTGATGTTCTCAGAGGAGCCAGGATCATCAGCAGCCACCCATGAAGGAGGCAGCCTTCTGGGGTGCATGCATCCTGGCCTCAAGGGATGCATATCCCTGTGTCACTCTGGCACCTCCAGGAAGCTACTTGGACTCATGGTGCCTGCTACTTGGGAACCAGCTGGTTGCCAGGGAAACAGCCCAGTGCCCCAGTCCTCAGGCCACAGGGGTAGCAATGATGGAGCAGCCATCTGCAGTATTGGGAGGGCTCTTTTCCTCCTCCCCAAGGTGGGGCTGCCTTTGCTTCCAGTTTTCAGTGGGGACACACAGCAGTAGTGTTCTTGAAGGCCGGGTTTAAAGATGACTACGAGCTCCTTACCACTCTCCCCTCCAGAGTCTCGGTTGCCCTCGGGACTTTCTATAACCAACAGGAGGTGGGACAGTAACCCTGTGCCAATGTCCAGTCTACACCTGTCCAGGGAGCCTGGTCCCCAGGTGATGGCTCTGGCTGCCTGCTGGTGAGGGGGACACCTAAGTGTCACCAGTCCTGCTGTCCCACCCATCTCAGAGGTGGCCCCAGAGCTGAGCTGGTGCCATCCTGGATCTCCTGCCCATTTCCAGATAAACGTCTCACATAGCCCAGTCCAGGACACAGAGATGATGCTTCCATCATCATCTGAGGGACCTGTTTGCAGCACTAGCCACCTGGGATGCTTGGGATCCATGTTGTGTCCTCTGGGTGGAGCCCATCACCAACGGGAAAGGGAACCCTGTTCCATCTGTGTCCAGGAAAAAGGTTTTTGACCAACTTAAAACAAAGCCACATTTATCAGACCCCAATTTCATGAGGAAAAGACCAGGAAGAGTCCTACAATCCAGGCCCCAAGGAGGCTCGGGGCTCCTACCTGCAAGCCCCCTGCCCATCCCCTGTGGAACCCTCCTGGGAACCTCCCTCCAGTGGCTGCAGTGTGACAGGGAGAATGGCTTTTTTGAGGGCCTGCAGGGGAGGCAGAAGGCTCAGACTAGGACAGAGTAGGCTTGGGATCCTGAGCAGTAATGGGGCAACTCTGGGTGCCTTTGCCTCCCCAGCCAGGAAACAGGGACTGAATAAAACAACTCCCACCCAGAGAGTGTGTGAGGACAAAAGCAGAACCTAGAGGGACAGCATCCCATGTGCACCAAGAGCCCTCTGCTGAGCCTGGCCCAGACTCCCGGGGGCCTTGTCGCCCCCAGCTCAGTGGACACAGCCTCAGCTGGGATCCGTTGCTCACTGGCAGTGGTTTTCAGGGGCACAGTCTTCCAGAGAAAATTGAGCTGGCAGGGGGCATTCCTGTTACCACTCTGAGTGGGGACCGACATCTGATGGGGGCAGGGTCCTGGGTGCAGGCAATGCAGAGAATGTCCACAGGTGAAGACTTATCTCCCTTGACTTGAATGACCCTTCAACATCCACATAGAGGAAAAAGACTACTCATGGGAGCCGGGGCCTGAGTCCACTTGACACAAATACAAGGTATGTTTTGATCCCAGTAAATATGCAATGTGCGTTTCAAGGGTGTGAGAACCAAGTGAGAGTGTGTCCTTTGTTAGAAAGCTTGCCAGCAGTTGGGAGTTTACAAGCAGCGTCCCCTCATGGATTCTAAGGCACACTTGCATCCACCTACACTTGTCCCTGTCACATGCAGATTAGGTCACTTATATAACATTGATTTCACAAGTCAAATACCAAAGAAACTCACGCTTGTGAAAAGAAGTGCAACCCTAAAGTGTGTTTTACTGCCTTACAAATTACTTTCCCTTTATTTCTCCTTGAACTGGAGAGCATTAGATGGGGTGAGGGCAGGTAGCATAGCTTCCCTGTGACTCTCCTTTCACACTGTAATAGGGTCATCTGGACATGTGTCATGAAGGGTGCTGGGTGGGTGGAGGTCAGGGGAGCTGGCTGGTGGCCTTGCTGTGGCAATGTCTGGTGTGAGTAAGGGTGGCAGCTCTGGAAAGCAGGGGGCTGCTGCTCTACACCTGAGCACACCGCACAGGGCCTCTGTCCTTGGCCCCACAGTATGGTTGGTGGTGCCAGTCTGAGCCTGCTGTTGGGGATCCCACCAGGTGCCAAAGGGCTGCGGGAGCCAGGGAGAGCAGAGTGGGGAGATGCATAGTAACCACCACCACAGAAGGCTGCAGGCCAACTCCTGGGCCCAGGCGCTGAGGCTGTCCTGAGCAGCATGTGAGGCCTGCCAAGGGGCTGAGGTCTGAGCCTTGCTCTGTCATGCCCCTTCCGGGACTTCCTCAAAGTCTTCAGCCCTGCTGTCACATGGAGGCCACGTGGCTGTCATATAGGACCCAGAGGGGCCAAGCCAGGTGCCTGGCCCACAGCAGATGGGCAGACAACCCTGGCGACAGCTGAGCAGGGCTCCAAACCTGAGCACAGGTGCACTCGAGGCCACCTGGAGCCCACCCCATGAGGAGCAGCTGGGTCCCTGTGTGTCCCAGTCTGCCCTGCTGGCCTGGCTTTGATTCCCTGCCTCCTGCCCTGGGGTCCGGCAGTGGGCATCTCACTCTCACACAGCCGGCTGGGAAATGACTCAGAGGCTTCCAAGGGGCAACAGCTGGGAGCAGAGCAGCTGGAACAAACCCCTGTTGCACCATGTGCTGAGCACCTGTCCCGCTCCAGATTCCCAGGATAATGGGCCACATGTGTGTCCCTGTTTGCAGGATCCTCTCAGGAAAAGCCAATGCCCACACCCAAGTGCAGCACATGCCACAAGCTCAGAGAGGCAGTTGGGTAGGACAACAGAGGAGCTCAGGTGTCACTGAGTGGGTGGCAGGCACCAGGAAGGCAGCTCTAGGACAGTACAAGGACATACACTGCTGGGCAGATTCTCGGCTGCTGGGTACAGAAACCCAGGCTTCATGAGAGGCAGGGACTGGAGATAGAACAGGCAGCATTCATGGGGAGACATCCCCAGAAATGGAATTCCTGAGAAGGAAATCTGAAGGGGCAGAGGACAGAGTCCAGGGAGTCAGGGACACCACAGGAAAGGAAGCCAGAGGGGGGCTTTCCAAGTCCCACCTTCCTGCCAAGCAGACACTTGTGAGAATGTGCCATCCAGTTCAGACTGGTTCAGGAACTTGTCCAAAAATACAGTTTTAAAAGGCATAGCCAAAATGCAGCCCGGGCTCATCCATTCGGGAAGGAGGGAGGAATTTGAGGAAAAGAGGACTGAAACTAGGTCAGCTTATTTTAGCATTGCCTGAGCAAAAAACACCTTCTCACTCACTTTGTTGCCAAGTCTCAGGTAAATTATGCCTGACACAGGATGATTTTCCTACCCCAGGGACACTGTGCTGGCCTCCCCTGCCTGTCCCTGGTTGGTGTGATCTTGTGGTTGTCTTACCTCTGGACTTCCTCTTGTGGAACACAGACTGGCAGATGATGACCAGGGTGAACAGCAGGACACTGAGGATGCCCACACAGCACACGAGGACGGCGTACATGTAGAGATCTGGAAAGTGAGGACATGCATGCCACTGTCACAGGGCACAACAGTCCCATATGGGATTCCAAAAGTCCCCAGACTGCAGCCATCAAGGTTGTGGTGGAAGGACACATATGGATGAAACAAACACAGAGAAACACAGAAACAGAGCCACACCAGTCTGCTGGATTGGTTTTGACAACTGAGAAAGCAATTCAGTGGCAGCAGGATCACCTCTTCCATAACTGGTGCTAGAGCAAATGGATTTCCATTGGCAAAAAATAAAATTAACTTCTCATCCTGTATATAAATTAACTCAAAATGATCTATATTGCTCATTTAAAAATGTGAATTAGCAAACTTAGGAAAAACACAGGAGAAAAGTCTTTGGGATCTAAGACTAGGTAAAGAGTTCTTAGACCTTATGCCAGCAGTGTCCTCCATATCAAACTTGAAGGCTGGGCATGGCTCAGCAGCAGCACAGTTACAGAGCACATATGAGGCCCTGAGTTCAATCCCCAGCACCATAATATAAGTAAAATAAATAACTTGACAAACCTGGTTACATCAAAATTGAAAACTTTGGCTCTTTAAATAACCATAGGAAGAGGGTAAGAAATTTAGCTATAGACTGGAAGAAAATACTTGGAAGCCATGTATCCAGCACAGAACTAAAGAACTCTCAAAACCCAACAGTAAAATATAAACAAACAATTCTATTATTTAGAAAGTCAGCAAAACATACGAAGACATTTCACCAAAGAGAATATACAGGTGTTAAGCAATTGCATGAGAAAATGTTTAACTTCTTCAGCATTAAAGAAAGGCAAAATTAAACCAGGATGGAATATCCCAAACACCATCCAGAATGGCTAAAATAAGAAGTAGGGCCGGGGATTTAGCTCAGTGGTTCCAGCACCTGCCTTGCAAGCGCAAGGTCCCGAGTTCAATCCCCAGTACCTAAAAAAAAAGAAAAGTAGTGGTGACACCAAATGCCAGCCAGGATATAGGTGAGCTGGGTGACCAACCCATGGCTGGTGGTAGTATAAAATGGGGCAGCCACTTTGGGAAACTTTTGGCCATGAAAATGCCTAAGACTTTCACTGTTGGCTACTCCATATCTCCAGCTGTTCTTCCCATAACAAAAGACCCTAAGCTGAACATCCATAATCTGAACCTTAAAGTGGCTCACACTTGAAGCTCTTAAGCTGAGGTTCCTGGGAGTGCAAGTGCTGAGTCAGCAGGAACACACCTAGTAAGGCCCTTGGGGCCAGGAGAAGCAGACAGTTAGGTGCTTAAACTGAGGAAGCCAGGGCTGGGGGCAGCTGGCACTGGTGCTGGAGCCACAGGCAGGCTGAGGGTCCATGAGAAGGAAGGCGGTGGGGAGAGGAGCCAGAAATGCAAGTTCTTTCCATCTCTCCCTGATCTGGCTCCCAAGGGAGCAGGTGCAGTCTTCAACCATGGAATCCAAGGGGTCCGCTCATCTTCTTGGAGTTGCCCAGCTTTTCTGCCTGAGCTAGCTTGAGCAAGCTTCTGTTCCTTGCCACTCAGAAGTCTGGGCTAAAAATAAAATGCAGATTTCCCTCTGAATCCATGGCTTCAATCAAGGATGGAGCAAAACTATTCTTTAAAAACCTGCATCTGTGCTGAATGTGGAGAGACTTCTCCTTGTCATTATTTCCTACACAGTGCAATGTAGGAATTATTTGCATGGCATTCATATTGCAATAGGTATTATAAGTCACGAGGAGATGACATAACACGCATGGGAGGTGTGCATAGGTTATACGAAACCAAGATGCCATTTTATATATTAAAAAAGGAGACTTGAGCATCCAGGGATTTGGGTATGGGGCAGGAGTGTGAGTCTTGTTGACACCATGGACCACTTCAGGCCAGGCACACGTGTACCTACATATGAGGGGGGCCAGGCAGGGCAACTAAAGGAAGAGCCTTCCACAAAGGAGCCTGGGGCAAGGTACAGTGCCTGGAGGAACCAGGAAGCTTTCTAGAAACCCAGAGTAAAGCTTTAAGTACAGCTGAGGAGCACCTACATTTCCCATGTGGAAGCTGCTGGGAAAACTGGGGGAGAAAGCCATCCCAGAGGGACAGGGGAAAAGCTGGAGGTCACCAGGCATGAGGTGCTCGGGATGAAAACAGAGAAAACTGTCCTAGCACTCCAATCAGAAGTGCCTTGCTGTCCATGCGACAGTGTATCCTGCTGATAGGTGGAGCTACAAGGAGCAGTCAGTGGGGACAGGGTCCTGGGCCTCCTTTTTAACAGCATGGGCCACACCAGCCAGGCTCACAGGTTCCCAGCAAGACCCTAACTGAAGGACAGAGCAGAGCTCACACTCATTAATGATGGGTCACCAGAACACAGGATGACTGGACCATGGAAATCCAGTGAAAAGTCTTGAATCTATATACTGTTGGGAAAACCACTCTGTGAACAGAATTGCAGAGCCATTTCTGGCTTAAAAAACATGGTAAATAACACAAGCACATTTCCAGGCCAGACAAAACTGGGACAGGTGGGCACTATATCTGCCCCGAAGGGATGCTTGAGGGAGGTCAAAGATATGGGACCCTGGACCAAAGGGCAGGCCATTTGGCTTCCGTTTCCTTCTGGAAATGGAGAGAAACCATCCAGCTGAAATTCCCCTGCCAGGGAGTAGAGTGGCCTGACCTCCAAGCTCACTTTCATCTTTCCTTGGTTTTGGGCTGCAGGAAGCAAGGAGGACCAAGGCAGCAGTAAGAAAAGCAGCTGGCAATTCTCCTGCAGGGTTCCAGCAGCTGTGCACATCTGGGGCTGCCCTACCCTATCAGGAGGCAGAAGCTTGAAGGCCCAAGGTACGGTTTCAGGTTGCAGCCTCCATGACATGGAGCAGAAGGAGGTAGCTCTCCAAGGGGAGCTATGGCTACAGAACCCAAAAACATCTGGCCAGTCCTCCAGAAGCCTAGGTCTCTGTGCCAAGCACATGGGCCCTCAGGGCTGTGGCCATTGGCCACATGTGGTTCTCCACATGCACAGGAATAGTACTAACCCTGCCTGCTCTCAGCTCTGTTCTTGAAACTACAAGAACCTTTAAAAGTGTCACTTTACCCGAGGAGACAAGCTCAGAAAGAACGTATCCCTTTCCTGGACTGGCAGCAACCTGACCCCTAAAGTTCGGGTTTTTCCTTGTTTCCAGCATTTCTTTTGTGGCATAAAACCAATCATTTGCTGAGCCTGTTCAAACCATTGACAACACCTCCCTTCCTGGTTTGTCCTGCAAACAAAGGCTGGACCTTGAGCCACTGAACCACAGAGTCATGTCACCTTTTGCCAGGACAGCCAGGTGGCGCTGAGCCTCAGCCTGCCCTCCTCCTACTGTTCTCAGGTTGGAAAGGAGCTCAGCATTGGCCTAGCTTCCAATCTGTCCTTTCACCATGCATGAAAGCAATCTTTCTATAAATGTTGGCTCAAAAGTTTCAAAACTCAGACCTGGCCAAACAACACTCCAAAAGCTGAAGCTAAACCTTCAGGCCCAGATTTAAGAAAACCTCTGCACTTTTAACCAAATCTGAAATTAGCTTATAGAATACCACATAGGGCAGGGGTGTAGGCAATGCTTGCCTCTCATGCTGCTGCACTGAATTCAAACCCCAGCAGCACAAAATTAAAATAAAGCAAAATAGGCTTGCACACACACAGTATTCTAAAAACGATGTTATTGTTCCTGTAATCATTTGCCATTTTATTTTTTGCCATTGAACTTTCAGAGGTACCCTTGCCATTGTTAGACTCAACTGCACAAAATGCCCAGGACTCCCTGAAGCAGATGGGCCAGCAGGCTCGGGTGGCTGTGCACACTGAAAGGAGACCAGCAGGGTGACACTGTCAGCCTGCCAGCTCCCGCCCTGGCACCTGTTGCCTGGCAACCTGGTGGGGCATTCAGCAGAGGCTGCTTTGGAGCGTGATGGCCCCAGCATTCCTCAACACCATGCAGAAGCCCTAGTGACCCCTCCTGACTCCTGCTTAATCAAGAAAATCAGAGTCAGTGTTCTGCATTTCCAGGGCAAATTCAGGCACCTAGGAGATGCAGTTCTGGCAATAACACTGTGTACTTCTGTTATCTTTTTTTGCAACCCATAAAACCATCTTGCTGAGGGCGTAATACCTGAACAATAGCCCTGAGGGATTTTAACTTGCTCTGGCATCTCATCCAGGGGCCGGACAATCGATGCTTGTTTTGTTCAGCAGGCACACAGCCAGGCCGGGCTAAGCCCCAGGAGGACAGCCATCCATCCTCACCCCACACCAAAGCCTTCTCATCCAGGAACAAAAGGGCAGAAGGCCTGAGAGCCTGCACTGGGAACTTTCATCACCATGCCTGACCTCACCAGAACTGTGATGGGTTAAAAAAGCAAAACACAGATGATTCTGCTTCGGCTGCTGTAATCAGAGGAAAGGCCAGCTGGGAGACAGCTGCTTTAGGCACGAAGGAGGCAGCAATGACACCAGCTGCCCAGAGCCTGGCTCTGAGTCTTGCCATGGAGAGGGTGTGCATGCCGTGCAACAGCTTTCACCAAGAGAAGGGAAGTGTAAAGCCCTGATGATCAGGCATGGTGCTCAGAGGCTCTGGTGATGCTGGGTGTGTTGGGACCAGGTGCTGCAATCTTTCCTAATACATAAAGTCTGGATTGGGCTTCAACCATGTTCTTAAATACAGTCCTCGGACCACTTGCATCAAACCACCTCCAACCCCAAGGAAGTGCAAATTCTTCCACCCCTTCCTTATGTAATAGTCAGAACCTCTGGGGTGGAGCCCTGAATCTCCCCAGGGATTCTTAGCATCTGATAAGTCACAGCCTCACTGACACACATCAGACGCCCCAGGACCTGTTCAGGGACCCACCCCATCACGGGGCCAAGGCACAGGACAGCACTGGAAATTGGGTAACAATCAACTGGGTTGCCTCAACTGACTAAATGGAAAAAGAAGAGTAAACCTTGCTTTTTCTACTGTGTTATTCTGGGGAATAAAGGCACTTCTATCCCTGCCCATGGGTAAGCCGTCCCTGAATGAGAGTCTGGGGGCAAGAGGAGGGACTATTTTGCTAAGAGAAAGTCATCAGATAAAGAAAAGGCTGCTAGAAAGGATGCAGAAGAAAAGTCAGGGAATACAAAGGGTCATTGTTTCTGCCCAAACACAATCTCAAAGAAGAAATACTCAGGACTTTGAACCAAATACCAAATTCTAACAAAAGGCTTGACTCCTCTGCTTTGCAAACTTGTTCATAATTAAAATGATGTTTTCCCACATGGATGAACCTTGAGACCATAACGTAAGGTGAAGTAAATCAGGCACACAAGCTCAAATAGCACATGGTTTTTTTTTTTAGATGAGAAACCCAAAGCATAGATAAATTAAAGAGCACAATTAAAAGACAGATAATAGGAAACAGAGAGATGAGTCTTTTGCAAATGGGAAGTGGACCAAAAGATGGAGCGAGGGGAGAGGGAGAGGTAGGGAAGGGGACACAGAAAGAATTAAGACATGTTATATGCATGTACCAACTCCCTTTGATAAATGTAATCATTATATACCACAAACATGGACTACTAAAAATAAAAATTCAAAACTACATGACATTTTCCCGAGAAAAGGTACCTTAGTACACCATTTCGTGGATGGTTTTGAATCCAAAGACCCCCTCACCCTCTTAAAGCTGCTCCCCTTCTCTGACCCCATCTGGCTGGGTCTTTCCTCATCAATAAATCCCACACCTCCACCAAGTTCTATGTCCCCTTTAACACTAATTAGTCTTTCCTGGACCAGAGGCCCTGCCTGAGAACTTACACGTACAGTCTTTCACTGTTCAGTTCATAGTCTTCAGTCACATGGATGGGGGATGACAATTTCTCTAAACTTCCCTTTCCCCAAGGCCGGGCTTAGCCTTGACTCTTGGGGCCAGAGTTCTTTAATGTGGGACTGTGAGGTGCACTGTGAGATGTTGACCACTGTCCCTGACCTCTAACCTCTAGATGCCAGGAGCACCCCCACAGTGGTGCCAACCAAATCACCTGGTGACACCCCAGACTTTTGACCTTGAGCCAAGGCAGAGATTGCAGAGGGCTTTGGTAACAAGTGGCCAGGTGACACTAATGCTGCTGGCAGGGACCTCGAAGGGAGCCTCTGCTAAGGTGGTGGACCTCAGCCTGGCTGCGGGCTGGAATCGCCTGAGGCACTTTCAGTAAGTTCCAGCCAAAGGAGAACCCTCCGGATGTGGTACAGGCATCTGTGTTGAGAGCTGCCTGAGTGACTCATGAGGCTGGGAAAACAACTTGCTTAAAGATTTTCACACTTTCTAGAACCCCAAAGTCCTTAAGCAATCTGAAATAACACAAAGTCACAGTGATACACTTTTTACTTTTTTACACATCATAGACGATCTCTCCCTGGTATCACCTGGAGTAAGAATTCTGGAGCAAAACAGAACCAGAAAACCATCTAATCTAAGCAGATTGGCACTGTAACCTGCACTTTTTCCGAACCTGTAGCTGAGACCCCAAGGATTCCCCTGACTCCTAAATTTCAATCACAAAACCACAATTTGATGTTATGGCAAAATCGAAAAGTTAGGGTTCTTTCTTCCTAGTTTATTCTTTTTCTATTGTCTAAAAATGAGGCTTCATCTTAGAACAACCAGGCCAAACTTACCTTCAAAAAATGCCCAGGTCTCTTTTTTCTTCTTGAAAGATGACTCTTCCGAAGCTTTGAGGGAAATCACTGTAAGACACAAAAGCGAAAGTGCAGCTTGAAGTACAGCTGGTGGTCCTGGCCCACCATGGTACATACATGGATAAAGTAATTTTCACACTAGCCAAACCAACTGAATGGATGTCTCAACTTCTACCACCTGGTAAATCACACACACTTTTAAGTTCGAGGTGCACTGAGAACCCCCAGGTAGAGATACTAATTTGCCACTTGCTCGTTGTGGGACCCCGGACTTCCTTGGCCCTTGATTTTTCCTTGGGGAAATGAGGACAAGTGATTGTGTTGGGTGAGTGTGAAGGTGAAATGAGCTAACATGTACAGTGTGGAGACAGGGCTGAGACCCAGTGAGCCATCTCTACCCACAAGGACACCAGCTCCCTAAAACAGGACTTTTTATCCATTTTATTGGAGACTCTACTGCCCATGCCTAGGTGAGCCTTGGTTGCTGGCCCCTCCTTTGCCCCAGAGTGTGACTCTCCAGTATCCAGATGGTCGATGTGAAAGACTCCCATCCCTGCAGTTGAATCCATACCACGGGACGATCCATGATCATCCTGACCAAGACACCCACCTTCAGGTCACTTTCCTTCATCTTTCAAGGGGAGAACCTGCAGGTCTTCGATTTAATCCAATCCCAGACCTTTGGTCTCGTGTAGGAAAGAAGATAGCAAGTTCTCCCTAATACAGCTAGGGAGATGCATGTTGAAGAAGCTCACAAACTGAGATTCTAAAGTAAAGGGGTTTCAAGGAAGTAATGAACGGGTATTCCCCATTTTCCCCAGTGCTGTTATTTTATGGAAAATGTGGGGCAACTTTGTGGTATTAGAAGGATAACCACACCATGATCTTATCTGCTCCTGCAAGAAAGAAAAATTTTTATGTGGTCCCTGCCAGAGCTTCAGAAATGTTCCCAAGGTTCTGCTCTAACTATCTTGTTTCAGCTGCTAATCTTGCACTATCTCCAAGTGCATTTTGATACATTGTAAAGGATGTGTCCAGTTCCACAGGCTGCCAGGAGACAGGGCTGTGGGATACTGCCAGGCCCACAGCAAGGGCTCCGTGGCACACAGTCTGTCCCCATTCTGCTAACTTTATTAACCCTGCTACCCACACTAAATAGCCACATGCGGCTGATATAAATTGACCTTGGTCAGCCTGCCCTGTGGGGCTGGGGGAGAATGAAAGGCTTCCAGAACACTTCATGCTAGGGGCTGCAATAATAGCTGAGGACTAGAGCTGTGCTTAGCATACAGGAGGCCCTGGCTCCATCCCCAGCATAGTGAAAAATTATCGAGCCCCCCAAAATCCAAACCAAACCAAACAAACAAAAAACAAGGCAAAAGAGGCACATTTTCCAGACACAAGTAATTCACATTAGCCAAAGACTTTCTGAAATAAAAAGTCCATCACTTGATGGAAGAGCACGTGTGTTTCCCATGGAATCAACCATAGAAAGCTGCAGCCTCTTCAACACAGACAATAAAGCTGCCTACCTGTAATGATGTTGAGCTCCCCGTGTGGCCCAGCTGGACACAGGGACGATGGGACAGAGACAACAAGCAGCCCTAGGACCCACACTGCTGGACCTTCCCAAGCTCCCACCTGCAGAGCTGCCGGTCCTGACCCTGGGGGACTCCCCTGTAGGCCCTGGCCACAGTCTGGGGTCCTTCCCCTCTCTGGAGCAAGCCTGCTGGGACACTGCCCCCTCTCCTCCTCGCAGCTCTGCTCATCATCCATCTGATTCCCCAGAGTCCCCCCACGATCACCAGGTGAGCAGAGGACCATAGTAAACACTCTCTCCCAGGCAGCCTGTGTCTTGCCTCATGCTCCAACACTGGTCTCCCAGCAAAGGATCCATGGAGCAGACCTCGTGCACCATGTTGAGGAGGCCTCATCACGCCAGGTGCCTTCTGCCCCACTGAGACCCCTCATGTGCACCCCTGTTCTTCCTTCTCTGCTGCAACCAGGGGGCACTCGAGCAAGATGGTGCTGGCCCTGACCTGCTCCTCCCATTAAGCACAGGGCCTTTAGTCCCTCCGTGGGCACAGAAGTGGGAAGGGGAGAGGCCATTGACTGGGGAAGTGGAGGAAGCCAAACTGCCTGTCTCAATCCTGCTTTAGCCGAGACAAAGTAGTACAGTGTTTTGTTTTCTGTTGGAGGGGGACAGAAAGGCAGCAATGTAACGAGGGATAAGTTGTGAGATCCAGTGAGTTACTGCCCTCTGCAAGGGGCTGGCTGAAGGTTGCCACAGGGTCACATAGTCAGGAGGCACGCAGACCAGAGCTCCCCAGACAATCTGAGTGCATCTGCCCTCTGTCTGGAGGGCCAAAGGAACCTTGGTTAAGTCCCTTTCAACAGGGCCTGTGGGAAAACCATTACCCGGAGACGTGTACAACCCAGAAGCCCAGGATCCTGCCCTGGAGGAAAGCCCCAAAGGCTTCCCTGGGGAAGTGGGGTCCCAGGCCTCTCAGGCTGTGAGCTCACACTGAGACCTGTGATCACACCCTCTGGGCACCTGGTGGTGGTAGTGGGGCTCTGCTGTCACCACCCATTATCTGAACTGACTCTGGTCATCCACAGAAGGACGTCCAGGGAATAATCTGCATCTCCTGAACTTCTCTCTCCCTCTATTCACCTGTGGCCCCGATTCCTTTAACAAAGAATCCTACAATTAAAGGAGCTTAAAATGCACCAACAAGTTTCACCCAATGTGAGGTGCATGGTCTGACACAGATACTGCTGGAACTGAAGATTGGTTGGAGGAGCAAGAAAGGGCCCTGGAGAGCAGGGGCCAACATGTGGCAAAGGCTGACCCTGAGCTGGAGACATGGTCCTGGGCTTTCTGTTTCCACCGCTTGTCAGGCTAAGAGAAGATCTGCAGATCTTGCCCTTAGGGAGTCACTTTCACTTGGTACCCCAAGGGCAAGATCTGTCATGTGCAATGCAGAGTCCTGGAGACCTACCTGATGAGAGGCAACACCTTCTGGGAGATTCTGAGCTCAAGGTCCTGGGACCCCACATGGCCAAGTCTTGCCTTCAGTGAGACAGAACGAGTTCAGGGGATGCAAGAGAAGAGGCACATGTGAGGAGGGACTGAAGTCCGGTCTCCATTTCCTGGACAGCCTGGGCAGGGCCTAGAGACCCACCCTTGAGTATTGCTGCTTCAATTCAACCCAGAGGAAGTGGGAGGAGCCACCAGACACTGAGGTCAGCCATCACAGAAGTGCTGTCCACTTGGTACCGTGAAACAGCCCTTTAACAGTGAGTCTCAGTGTGGAAATATGCAATGCACAGAACACAGGTGTCAGAAGAAAGCTACTGTGGAAAGCACAGGACCTCTCTAGGGACAGGTGTGTCTCCCAAGAAGATGACTCTCAGGTTTAGAATGGAGGCCCCTGAGTCCCACTAGCCTTTGTGCAATGATTCTCTAGTGTCTCACACTCCCTGTTAAATATGCTGCCTTAAAACACACCACTATCCACAGAGCATGTGCTTTTACAAATTTAACTTGACAGTTATCTGGTTTCTTCACTGTCTAGAGTCCTCAGCCCACCATTCAGGTCATAGTTACTTTGAATCGATGACTGAAGTTGGGCGTGGTGGCACATGCCCATAGACCCAGCTGTTTGGGAGGCTGAGGAGGAAGGATTGCCTGAGCTCAGGAGCTCAGGGCTGGTCTGGGCAATAGAAAAAGGCTTCATCTCAAAAAACAAAAACACCTGAATGAATGATATGGTTGTGAAGATTGTGTCAGTGAGTCAAGGCCACCCAAAGGGAATGTGGCCCAAGGACCCTGACCTCCTTATATCCTGGAAGACTGGAAAAAGGCCAGGGCAGGGTCCCCACCTACCCGGCCCCCTTCCTTCACCTGGAGCCCTGGGACCCCCAGGGACAGCAGCCCCCTGGCCCTTGGCACAGACCAATTGGAAAGAGGGCAATCAGAAGAGAAGGGTGACACAAAGTAAGCACAAGTAGAGAGGCTTGAACAAGATGGCACCTCAGCTCAAATGTTAACACACTCAGCTCATTGTCCCCTCTTATTCAAGGACACAGTCCCCAGGGAAAACACTGGGTGATATGGTCAAATCCTTGCTATTTTTAACTGGCTCCCTGTCCTTGGTGGAGACAGCAGCAGCCCGAGAGTAAAAGCCCTTCTGTTCTGCCTCCTGCTTCCTTTCTCCACCTTCCAAACCCAGGTCACAGGCAGCCTCTCCAGGGTGCAGAGCCAGCCAAGTGTCAGTGGGGCCTGGGAATGACCCACACAATGCTGCAGAAGAGACCAACAGGGCTCCGGCCCTGTCCATTCTGCTGCCCCTCCCCTGCACTCTGCCCTAGACAGTCTAGAAAACTGAGCAAACCACCACACAAAGCAAAGGCAAGATGTCAAGTTGACTTCCTGCAATGGACCCAGCAGCTTATAAAGAAGTTCTTGCTCCCCAAAGGAGCCACTGCAGAGTGCAAAGTCGCTCCGATGTCCCTACATGATATCAGGAAACTGGAAACAGGGCTGTGACTGAACCCACATACTGCACCGCGTTTTCTCCTTCGGCCCCTTTCAGTTGAGCGTTCACCAGAGTTTGCATTACTCATTTGCTCCTTCATCCAAACTCTCCACTCAAGCCCTGAGTCCAGGGAAGGGGCTGCTAAAAAGGAATCTGACAGGGCCGCTGATGCCCATCTGGCCTCCCATCACTGCTCACCATGTCCCCTACCTGTGAACATGCATTCCACCCCATTGACTATTTATGACCTCCTTTGCCTCTTGTTCATGAATGTCCTCCATGTGACCTTCTCAAAGACTGCATCCTTGTCCTTCCCTTAGTCCCACATCACTGTCACCCACAGGCATGACCTACTCATGCTCTCTAATTTGCTGTGTCAGTGAGGTCTATTAAATCCAAACTCATGTCTGCACAGCTACTGTCCTCTGGATTATGAGGCTGAGGCCCCTCCTCCCTGACATCTCTCCACCTCTCCACCCTGACATCTCTTTGGCTGATGACAGTATG